AATGGAAGGCAACACCTGTAGGGAGTCACGAGGATGGAACGTGGGACGGGAACCTCCCGGTTTCAAGATGCATCAACGATGGTGCAATGCACCCCCCGTCGGAAGGGCGTGTAGCAGCATCGTGATGCATGTCGGGCCTACTCTGGTCCTTCTCCTCCTCCTCCTCCTCCTCCTCAGCCTCCTCCTTCTCCTCCTCCGCCTCCTCCTCCTCCTCCTCCTCCAGCCTCCCCCGTCATCCGCCTGCTCCCTCGCTGCCCTTCTGCGCCCAAGAAGTCCACCAGACCTCGCTGGGGGTGCGCTGTAACCAGACCCTTGCGCTGCATTCGGCCGTGGGGGCGAGAAGGTGCACCCCCTTCCGAGGCACGATTCTCGAGCCTTCTTCAAAATCCGTCCCAGGACCCCCCTGGGGTTTGTCCCGATGGACCTCCCTGCGGTCTATCCCGAGAAGTTCTTGTCCTACTACCCTCGTCAAAGTTAACCTCAAAAATGGCGACCACGCCCCTGCGATGTCGGCGCGCCCTTCAATGTCGATAGACGCCCCTCCAATGTCGGGGCTAGTCAAGAGTGGTCTGACCGAGAACGACTCGGAAGTTCGATGATGACCGACATTGGAGGGGCGGCGCATACAAGTACCTCACAGTCACGGCTACTCTGTCCAGTATCTCCCCACGAACAGTTCAGCCACGTAAGATATTTTTGAGGTGAATTTTGACGAGGGTTGTAGATGGATCTCTGGCGACCCCAGGGCTCGAAACGGAATCTTGGAGCCAGAAAATTGCGAACCATCTCGCGCGCTCGAACCTTCGGGCTTCGAGCTTGGAGCTCACGGTCGGGAACTTTTCGCTTTTTGATAGAGTGCCGCTCTGCCGGTTCTGGCCCACCATGCTGCGGCGCGACACGCTATCCACTTCGGGCCCCCAAGCGCACAGGCCCCGAACCCTTGCGAGCTTCCCACCTTGCGGAGCAGAGCGACACGCTGTCCGCTCGCAGGGCACAGCGTGTCGCCCGGGCCGCCCCCGCGACACGCCATCCAACAGCTCCCGACTGTAGGGCCTGTAGCTCTGTCGCCCGGGTCCCCGATCGGGAACTGCTGCGCGCCAGCCCCCCTCGTAAACATGTCGGGATGCGCCCCCCCCCCCCCCCCCCCGCGCGGCGTAGCTGGAGCAGTTCCTGCCGCCACTTCCGTGTGGCGACTCTTCGATCGCCCCGAACCTCCATCCTCGAGCTTCGCTCCTCCTCCCCGCGGCGCCGTCAGCCCGTCCCCTTTGCATGCGCGGGCACGCCTCGGGCGGCGCCGTGCCACCGCCTCGAGCCAGGCGGGCCGCCGCCGCCGCTGCCGCCGCTGCCGCCGCCGCCGCCGCTGCCGCCGCCGTCGCCGTCGCCGCCGCCGCCGCCGCTGCCGTTGCTGCCGCCGTCGCAACCGCCGCCGCCGCCGCCTCACCCCGGCGGCGGCTTTCGGCGGCCCGCGGCGGTTCTCGGGGCTTCGTCGGCGGCTTTTGGCGGCCCTCGGCGGCCCTCGGCGGCCCTCGGCGTCGTCGCCGCCGTCGCAGGCGGTGGTCGTCGCCGTCGTCGTAGCCGTCGTCGTAGTCGTCGTCGTCGTCGTCGTCGTCGTCGTCGTTGTCGTCGTTGTCCTCATTAATTCATTCATTCATTCATCCTCCTCTTCCTCCGCATCCTCCATCTCTCTGAACGGGGTCTGAAGGTTCATAGAGTCAGATAGTCGGCGGGGCAGGGGGATCGGATGGGCCAGAGGGTCAGAGTGCGATTTAGTCAAAGGGTTAGAGGGTCATGCGGAGGAGAAGGTCAGAGTGGAGAAGGAAGTCTGTGTCAGAGGGCCAGCGGGCCAGATGGCCTGAGGGAGACAGGGTCGGCGTGTCGGAGGCAGATCAGTCATGTGGAGGGGTTGCGGTGGGGGAGCGGGAAGAGGGGAGCGAGGAGTAGCGACGATGAGGAGCGATGATGATGAGCGAGGAACAAGAACGATGATCATGAGGATGCAGATGATGAGGATGCTTATTATGACGATGTTGTTGATGATGATGATGCTGATGGGGATGATGATGATGATGATGATGATGATGATGATGATGATGATGCTGATGATGATGATGATGATGATTGATGATGATGCTGATGATGATGCTGATAATGATGATGATGATGATTATGTTGATGATGATGATGGAGATGATGACGATGATGCTGATGATGATGATGATGATGGTGATGGTGGTGATGATGATGATGATGACTGTGATGGTGGGGAAGCGGTGGTGGTGGTGATGATGATGATGAGTATGCTGATGATGCTGGCGATGATGATGATGGTGATGATGTGGATGACGACGGTGTTGATGATGACGACGGTGGTGATGGTGGTGATGCTGATGATGAAGAAGAGGATGGTGATGGTGATGGTGATGGTGATGGTAGTGATGATGATGACAACGACGACGACGATGATGATGATGATGATTATGATGATGATGATGATGATGATGATGATGATGATGATGATGATATGCTGATGATGATGATTACTGTGATGATGATGATGATGATGATGATGATGATGATGATGATGATGATGATGATGATGATGATGATGTTGTTGTTGTTGTTGTTGTTGATACAGTTGCTGCTGCTGCTGATGCTGCTGCTGATGTTGTTGTTGATGATATTGACGGTTCTATAGGCTTACGCCACATCCGCCGACCCCTATATAATCAACTACTGCGCCTCCAGGACTGCATTTCACGAGGCGTGTGCGAATCATGACACGGCGCTCGACATCGTTCCTGTTGCTTCGTTGCTGTTATCGTACCTCTTGGTGCTCTTCTGTAGCCTTTCGGTGGCATCTTGGCCTATCTGCAGGCCATCTCCGGCCGCCTCGAGGCATCTGGGGCCAAGTTTTGGGGCCTTTTGGGGGCTTCCTGGGGGCTTCTTGGAGGCCTTTGAGGTTCTCTTGGGGGTCCCTCAGGGCCTCTTGGGGTGTTCTTGGGGCAGGCTGGGGGCGTCTTGGGGCCGAAGTCGAAAAGGTACCCTCTGGACTCCCTCTTGGAGCCGTCTGGGGGCCCTCTTGGGCTGTCTTGGGGGCTTCGTGGGCTGTTTTTGGACCCTCTTCGACCCCTCTTGGGGGCCCCTTCGGCCGTCCGGGGGCGATATTGAAGGTTTCTTTGCCCGTCTTGGACGTTGTGAAAGCCGAAAAGGCGAGTATGCGAAAAATGATTATAAGGGACTGAGAGGATTTCTGTTTCTTGGGACCCTCTTGGGACGCATCTTGGGGGCCTTTTGGTCCGTCTTGGCAGCTTCGGGGGCCGTCTGGAGGCCATCGTGGGCGCCAAGGAGCGATATTTCGGCGACTCGTGGCCCTCTGGGACCGTCTGGGGAGCGTTTTGGTACCTCCTTGGCCCGTTTTGGAGCCCTCCGCTCCCCCATGGCGCATTCGGTCCGGGGTCGCGCCGGGCCGGGGGGGGGGTCGAATTGCCGGTTTGGGGTCCCTGGGGGGGGATTATGGGGGGGGGATAATTTCAGACTCCTAGAGACCCACACGGCGTCGGCGGATTACGGTGATGGCGATGGTGATGGTGATGGGGGTGATGGTGATGATGACGATAATGATGATACGGACGACGACGATGATGATGATGCTGATGATGATGACGACGACGACAATGGTGATGATGATGATGATGATGATGATGATGATGATGATGATGATGATGATGATGATGTTGATGATGATGATGATGATGATGATGGTGGTGGTGGTGGTGGTGCTGGTGGTGGTTGTCGTGGTGGTGATGATGATGATGTTGATGATGATGATGATGACGATGACGAGAGTGAGGAGGAGGATTATGATTATGGGGAAGAGGAGGAGGAGGAGGAGGAGGAGGAGGAGTTGGAGGAGGAGGAGGATGGCCAGTGTAAGCGCGAGACTCAATCATCAACGATGTTGCAGTACACCCTCCCTCTATGCTCCCTCTTCGTAGGCTTCATACGAGTATTCACTTCGACGGGGGGAAGTGCCCCGCTGGAAGACAGCCGTGTGAAAATTTTGAATCGTGCCACAGCACCGTTTTCAGGACTTCAACGCCACGAGTCAACTTGACTGTTGCGTCGTAACGATCGTGAACCGTGTCAGAACACCATTACTGGGACTTCCAGCACCGCGAATCAACGTAACTGTTGCGCCCTGAATCCTGGATCGCTCGAACACGCAATGTCTGGAAGGCTAACCAGAAGAATCCGTTAAACTCTTGTAATTTGGTAAGACGAAAGTGCGCGGCGCTAGGGCGAGAGCCACATTTTGAACATGAGCCGCCCTCAATCCGTGAAGCTTCTGCAGTTTTCTAGAACGAATGTGCGCGGCGCTAAGGCGAGAGCCACATTTCGAAAACGACCCGCCCTCAATTCGTGCAGCTCTGGCAATTGTTTAAGACGAGTGTGTGCAACGCTCAGACGAGAGCCACTTCTCGAAAACGACCCGCTCTCAATCCGTGAAGCACTTGCAGTTTTTTAAGACGAATGTGCGCGGCGCTGAGGGGAGAGCCACATTGTGAAAATAACCCGCCTTCAATCCGTGAAGCTTTTGTAAACGTTTACGAAGAGTGTGCGCGGCGCTTAGGCGAGAGCCATTTTTTGGAAGCGACCCGCCCTTCCTCCGTTAAACTGTTGCGAGCTTCCAAGCTTCAGGCTCATAGATGGTAAGGAAGTCTCAGGCGAAACGCCTGGCCCGCCCTTCCGACCGGTCTCGGGGTGCGGCAGGGGGGGAGTTATTCATGAGGGTTATGAATGGAGGAGGGGAGTGAGGATGAGAAGGGGGAGCGGGATGATGATGATGCTGATGATGATGATGATGAGGAGGAGGAGGAGGAGGACGAGGAGGACGAGGAGGACGAGGAGGACGAGGAGGACGAGGAGGAGGATGAGAAGGAGGAGGAGGAGAAGGAGGAGGAGGAGGAGGAGAAAGCGGCGGATTCCCCCATGACACTGAGATGATGGCCCTCGCCTCTCAACGAGCTGCGCGGATTCTGGCTGGAGCGCGTCACGAGATCGACGAGTTTCTCGACTCATCGGTCTGGAGGGCCGTCGTGGGGTAGCCCGTTCGTCCTCCTGTCTCGCTTCTGTTCCTCTTCCCCCTTGCCCCTGGGCCCCCTCCCCCTCTCTCTGTTCTCCATTCCTCCCTCCTGGCCTCTCTGGCTCTTCTTTTCGACTCACCCGTTCAGCGGCCACCTCCCTCACTCGCTCTTTCTGCGCTGCCTCAATCTGGACCTGCTTGCGGCTGCGCTCGAGCGTCTCGTGTGTGTGTGTGTGTCTTTGTCGTGTCCACGTGTAGCCACCAGCCACGATCTCCTTGAGCAGTTCTGCTTGTTTGCAAAAACGACCGGGGTCGAGCATTCTCGGAGATGTCTGCATACTCTGTGACGCCTGAAGCTGTATTCTGCGAACCACGTGGGACATCAACGATTAGGGGCGCAACAGTGGGTCTCCTAAAGTCGCGGACAAGCCTTCTGGTTCCTTGCTGGTGTACGTTGTTTTACCGCGGGTGTTGTATTTGTCGAGTGTGCGAGATGACTGTGTTCAGAGTGTTTGGCAGAGAAGGCCATGGGTTATGTGGTCATGGTCCAGCAGAGGCTCTGGAGACGAAGCCGTTTGTTCCTTTGTGCGTGATACGGTTTCTCCGCATTTTTCAGCTGAGGGCTAGCCCAAATTTTCAAGGGTGAGGGAGGGGCCAGATATTGTATGCTTGATGTTCATGTCGCGATATTCAGTTAGCCTGGTGAAGGGCCTAACTCCATACAGCTGTGTGTAGCGCAGGGCGCGGCTCTTTCTTCCTGCGCTGCGCGCCGCGGTGCAGTGAGGGTAGAGGATTGCGGAGTCAGCACGCTGTGGCGCGGTGGGTGTACCGAAATGGGCGCGGGCACGCATGCGGCCGCAGCCACTGGGGCCGAAGGTGGAGCTCCGTACGGGGTACAATCCCCACGAGGGGTGCGCCGAACTGGGCCACCGCCTGCACGCGAACACCCTCACTCATGCGGTGGAGCTCCCCATGGGACACGATTCGCGTGAGGGGTGTGTCGAAGGGGGCGCGGTGGCGCCATGTAAACGCACCCACTGGGGTCACAGTTGGAGCTCCCTGTTGGGCACGATCAGTGTGATGAGTGTGCTGAAATGGGTGGGGCAACGCCATGAGATCTCACCCACTGAGGCCGTACGTGGAGCTCCTGGTGGGGTACGAGTAGTGCGAGAGGTGTGACGAATTGGGCGCGGTGGCGCCATGCGAACTCACCCATTGAGGCCGTTGGTGGGTCTCCCCATGGGGCACGATCCGCGTGAGGTGTGTGCCGACTTGGTTACGGGGACGTCACGCGAGCGCACCCACTGAGGCCATACGTGGGCTCCCTATGGGGCACGATCCGAGTGAGGGGTGTGCTTAAATGGACGCAGTGACGCCATGCGAACGCACCCACCGGGGCCATAGGTGGAGCTCCCTGAAGGCCGCGACTAGTGTGAGAGGTGTGCCGAACTAAGCACGGGGACGCCATGCGAACTCACCCACTAGAGCAATACGCGAAGCTCCCTATGGGGGCACGACCCGCGTGAGGGATGTGCGAAAAGCAGAGGCAGGATAGGAGAAAGACAGAGGCAGGGCGATGGTGAAGGAAGGAAGGGGGGGAGGGAGGTGGAGCGCGGCGCTGCGGATTCAAATCGAGGACCCAACAATACAGGGGGGTTGGGACAAATACTGCTCCCAGGTCCTCACGCTGGTGGACCACGAGCTGGGATCCACCGGGACCCGCGTGCAAAGGAGACCTTTTCTGACATCGCTTCTTGCCCCTTGGTCTCTACATCTCTGTTTGCGTGTTGCCTGCCTCCCCATCCGCCCTTCAGCCCACCCACGTGCGTACACTTCTCGCCCTCCCCTTGCTGTTCTCCTTATTCTTGTGCCTGTCCTTTGTCGTCGCCGTCTGCGTCTCTCCGCGCCTGTCTCCTTCGTTCCTCTCCCTTTTTGTCTCGGTCTCGTCGTCCTTGTTCCTTTCTTTCTGCTTCTCCTCCTATTTTTGTCAATGTCCGTGTCCCTGCTCATGCGCTTGTCCTTGTTCCGGTCCTTGTCCGTGTTCTTGTCCGTGTCTTTGTCCTTGTCCTGCTCCTTAGCCTTAATCCTTGTCCCTTCTTCGTTCTCTTCTCGCTCGCCATCTCCCTCTATTTGTCCTTTTTATGCACTTTCTCCAGCCCCAGACAGCAACGGTGCGGCGGGGCGCGGGAGTCGACGTGGAACCCACGTCGCTCGCGAGGGGCCCTCGAGCGCCAGGTGCGCCGAGCGGGCGACCAGGCCTGCACTCAACAGCTCTATTCGTAAAACAGATACAACAACAACTGTAACAAGTATCCTGGCGAAGGAACCAACCATATGCAATTGTGAGTACCGCAGTTGTGAGCCCCGCGTTCGATGGCGTGCGGTGGCGCCATGCGAACCCTGCCACTGGGGCCTTCGGTGGAGCTCCCTGTGGCGCCGCTAAGCGTGTGAGGGGTGTGTCGACATGGGTGCGGTGGCGCCATGCGAACCCTGCCACTGGGGTCTTTGGTGGAGCTCCCTATGGGGCCACGAAACGTGTGAGGGGTGTGCCGAATTGGGTGCGGTGGTGCCATGCGAGCCTTGCCAGTGGGGCCTTCGGTGGAGCCCCCTATGGGGCCACGAGGGGTGTGAGGGGTGTGCCGAAATTCATGCAGTGGCGCCATGCGAACCCTGCCACGGGACCTTCGGTGGAGCTCCCTATGGGGCCACGAGGGGTGTGCCGACATGGGTGCGGTGGCGTCATGCGAACCCTTCCACTGTGGCCTTCGGTGGAGCTCGCTGAGGGGCCGCGAATCTTTTGAGGAGTGTGCCGAATTGGGTGCGGTGGCGCCATGCGAACCCTACCAGTGGGGCCTTCGGTGGAGCTCGCTAAGGGGCCACGGAACGTGCGAGGGGTGTGCCGAACTGGGTGCCGTGGCGCCATGCGAACCCTGCCATTGGGGCCTTCGGTGGAGATCCCTATGGTGCCACGGAACGTGTGAGGGGTGTGCCGAATTGGGTGCGGTGGCGCCATGCGAGCCCTGCCACTGGGGCCTTCGGTGGAGCTCGCTAAGGGGGCCACGGAACGTGCGAGGGGTGTGCCGAAATGGGTGCGGTGGCGCCATGCGAACCCTGCCACTATGGCCTTCGGTGGAGCTCCTTATGGGCCACGAAACGCTGTAGTGGATATGCCGAAAGGGAAACAGGCGGAGGGCAGAGGCAAGGAGGTGGAGGAGGGAGGAGGGGGGGGAGGAGGAGAGGAGGAGAGGAGAGGAAGGAGACGCGGGGCGCTGTCTCTTCAAAACGATGACACAACACCACAGGATGATTGGGAATAATAATAATAATAATAATAATAATAATAATAATAATAATAATAATAATAATAATAATAAAACACACCAGCAGCTCGACTCGTCCTTGTTCGCAGGTGGCAGCGCACTTCGGCATGCTGGCTGTCGAATGCCTGCCCAAGATCCTGATTCTTCCAGCGAGATGACTGCCAGTCTTGCAGCTGCCAGCCCAGTGACACTTCTGATGGTGCCTTCGTCCACTCGACCCAGCGCGGCTTCGCGGGCCCGAAGGCGGCACCCTCGCCCCACGATGGGCCTCGGCATCGAACCTCGGTGAAACGCCGCTCAGCCCTGTGCCGCCGGCTACTGGCGTCGGCAACAGCAACCGCAAGGCAGGCTACAGTGGCCCTGGTACGACACGAATTTCACCGACGACACCATAGCGCACTTCTGAGCCCTGCCAGGTGCCGCACCCTGTGGGCCTCTGACGGCAGTTGCCCCTAGCCCTTTCATTCTGGACTGCTCGCGTTGTTTCCCAGCGGATGCCTGCCGCCCTGGGTTCGCGCAGGCGTCTCGACGCAGCCAGAACCAGCGCTATCAGCCCGTAGCAGGCCAGGGATGCCAGTCGCCCGCTGGCACGCCTCCGAGTGTCTCTGGAGCTCCAGACGTGCGCTCTCCCGCGCCCGGCAAGACCTTCTGCTGCAGGCGTCAAATGCAGGAGGGAGGGAGTTCCTCGGAGATCGAGGGAGTTTGATCCACACTGGCACGCTGATTCTCAGAACACTCCGATAACTTGTGATATCTTGTCCACCCGCTGTCCCTCATCGGAGGACGGCTCCCGCAAGGTTTCACATCTGCGACCTGGGGGTGCGCAGTAACCGCGAACGGCCGCGGCAGAGTCGTCTGTCAGGACCCTCCTTCTCATGGGGAAGATCCGTGCAAAGTCGATCCACGGATCCCTCCCGGGGCCCATCCTTCTGTGTTTGGAGCAGCAACCGGCCAGGAAGAGATGAAGCTGTCAAAGCCGACCCGCCACAGGTCTGGTCGCAGTTCTCGCGACGCCGCTGGGTGGCTTTCGATGATGCGTCATCGCCGAGCGGCCTCGGGGGCAACGCTAGGGGGCGATAGGCTCAGGGGGGGGATCCGTCGACTTCTCATCGCCCAATTGTCGCCGACGTGGGCTCGAGATCCCACCCAGCCCAGGAGACGTTCGGATACAGTGGAGATCCATGCCAAGAAGCACCCTGCTTGCCTCCAGGGTGCCCTGCTTTTTTTTGTTGTGTGTGTGTGTGTGTGGGTGTGGGTTTCGATGGTTCTGCTATGGAGAGCTTGACGCTCCCACACCAAAAATCAGTGGACGTCCTACGTCCTGGGTTCTCCGGGCTGGGTTTCTCGTTGAAGGTTTCTTGTGGTCGAGCTCCTACCGTTCGCCATCGAGGGCCCATCGAGATTGTTTTTTCATCCTCTGGCGCGCAGCGGTCGTTGCCTGGGCCCACCCCACTCCCCCCTTCACCGGGTAACCGCACCGAGCGACCGTACGTGGGTTACGTTGCATCTTCGGGGGACTTCGACTGTCCCCCAAATTGGTGCCTTCTCTTGTGCCCGACGCAGGCTCGATGCGGGCTCGACGCGGATTTGGCGTGGATTTGACGCAGATTTGACACGGATTCGACACACTTCCGACGAGTCCGACATGGATTCGACACGGACTCGACGCGGATAGGGCCGCGACGGGACCGACAAGGTCCCCCGAGGATGCAACATACCGTGGGGGGGTGGGTGGGGCTTGGACCCCCCCCCAAACCGGCGCTCGCGCGCACTTTGTAGCGATCGCAGCGCCCCCCCCCGCCCCGACGTGCCCCCCGCCCCCCCCCCCCCGCCCAAGCGCTACCCTGACACTGGGCCTCAGCCCCTTTCCCCCAGGCAACGGCCGCTGCCCGAAGGTAGCCAGAAAGCGCGATGTGGCCGCGCCGTTGGTTCCCACGCGCGGCCCCGCGCCTCGGGGCGGGCGCCGCGGCCACCCGGGCCAGCGCCGCCTCGAACGCGGTGGGCTCGCCGTGGGGTTCGCCGCGGTGCCGGCCTCGTCCTCTGGGGCTAAGGGCGCAGGGCTTGCCGCGGGTTTGCCGTGGTGTCGGCTCCGTTCACTTGGGCGCGTCGAGAACAAGCGGCGCGGCTACATTCAATCAACGCGCATAGTAAGGATGAGCAACTTTCCAAGTTTACCCTTGCAGCGTCCTCCCCACCCTGGCCCATCCTTGGCCGCTTTCGCTGGTCTTGCCCAGCTCCCAAAGTGTCGGCATGGCCTTCCGATGGCCCTTGCATCCTTACCGTGCGTCCTTATTTCACGGGTTGACTGCACCATTGCCGATCCATCGACGATGTGTCGCCGATTCCAACTCGATGTCTCCCCTTCGAGGCTGGTCCACCCCCGCACGCCCCCACTCAGACGCGGACGGCTGCACCGCTCGGCGGCCACCACCCCCGCCGATCTGCTCCCGTCGGCCCTGGCCGTGGGGACGCCGAGCGGCTCCGAGGGCCCGCGGGGGCCCGCGTCTGCTCGCAGCTCTCTGCCTCCCGGGGCGGAGGTCCCGGGCCCAGGCCCAGAGAGGTCAAGCACGTCTCATTCTTGGACCCTTCCTCCCTCCATCCTCCTCATCCCTCCCTCCCTCCCCCCTCTCCCTCCCTCCCTCCCTCCCTCCCTCCCTCCGCTTCCTCCTCTTCTTCCTCCTCCTCCTCCTCCTCGCTCCTCCTCGCTCCTCCTCCCTCCTCCTCCTCCTCCTCCTCCTCCTCCTCCTCCTCCTCCTCCTCCTCCTCCTCCTCCTTCCCCTCCTCCCACCTCCCTCCTCCCTCCACCGTCCTCTTCTCCCTCCTCCCTCCTCCCCTGCTGCTGCTCCTCGTTCCTCCTCCTCCTCCTGCTCCTCGCTCCTCCTCCTTCTCCTTCTCCTCTTCCTCCTCCTCCTCCTCCACCTCCTCCTCCTCCTCGCTCCTCCTCGCTCCTCCTCGCTCCTCCTCCCTGCTCCTCCTCCTCTCCTCCTCCTCCTCCTCATCCCTCCCTCCTCTCCCTCCACCTCCACCTTCTCCTCCTCCTTCTCCTCCTCCTCCTCCTCTTCCTCCTCCTCCTCCGTCTCCTCCTCTTCCTCTTCTTCCTCCTTCCTCCTCCTCCTCCTTCCTCCTTCCTCCCTCTTCTGCTCCTCCTCCTCCCCTCCTTCTCCTCCTCCTCCTTCTCCTCTTCCTAGTCTCCCTCCCTCCCTCCCTCCCTCCCTCCCTCCCTCCCTCCCTTCTTCCTTCCCTCCCTCCTCCTCCTGCTGCTGCTGCTGCTGCTGCTGCTCCTCTTCCCCTGCGGCTGCTCCACATTATGCCGCGCCGGCTGGCCAGGCCCGTGCCCGAGCCCGCACCGGAGGCCGACGCGGGCGCCCCGCTTCTGGAGGCCCTGAGGGGTGGGGTGGGGGCAGCGGCAGATACGCAAATGAGGAGGAGGAGGACAGAGGAGGAAGGAAGACGGAGAACGGAGGATGCAGGACGTAGAACGGAGGACGGAGGACGGAGGAGGGAGGACGGAGGACGGAGGAGGGAGGACGGAGGACGGAGGACGGAGGACGGAGGAGGGAGGACGGAGGACAGAGGACGGAGGACGGAGGACGGAGGACGGAGGACGGAGGACGGAGGAAGGAGGACGGAGGACAAAGGAAGGAGGAAGGAGAAAGAGGAAGCAGGAAGGAGGAAGGAGGAAGAAGGAGGAAGGAGGAAGGAGGAGGAAGAGGAGGAGGCGGATGAGGAGGAGGAGGAGGGGTAGGAGGAGGCGGAGGAGGAGGGATGAGGGGAGGAGAGGGGAGGAGGAAGAGGAGGAGGAGGAGGAGGAGAGGAGGAGGAGAAGGAGGAGGTGGGGGAAGGGGGGGGGGCAGATAAAGGCGTTAGGAGCCTCTCGGGCACGGAGGAGGATGAGGAGGAGGAGGAGTAGGAGGAGCAGGAGGAGAGGGAGGAGGAGGTGGAGGTGGAGGAGGAGGAGGAGGAGGAGGAGGAGGAGGAGGAGGAGGAGGAGGAGGAGAACACAGCCCCTACTGAGCGGGCCAGGGCGGACGGGGGCGCAGTCGGCTGCCTCGGCCGTTTTTTGATGAAGCTAGGTCATCGCTCCTCGAGGTGGCCTA